ATAAATATAAATTTACTAACTTTACATGAAAACATTTATGTTAGATAGTAAAGAAAAATAGATTTTCAATTTGAAATATTACAAAAAATAATAATTAATAAATCCAAATGTTTTTAATTTTTGTTAATTCTATTCAATAAACTGCTAAAAGAATGTCTTTTCTTGTACTTTCTTTTTTTGTTTTCTATAATTTTATATTTCATGTTTATTGGTTTTTTTTTTATTTCTTGTTCAATCTGAGCTCTTTGATATTTTTCACGTGGTGTTATTAACATTTATTCGTTATTTTGGGGTTTCTTCTGCTTAAATTAAATATTTTTTAAAAAATTTTTTCTTTTGGTGTTTTTATTTTTTTATTTTTTGTTGTTAAAAAATCACGTGTATCTTAATCCAACTCTTCAACATTTTCTAAGTCTTTTTTATCTTTTGATTTATGAATTATTGAAGATTCAATTTCAATTAATGAACAAAAATAATTACTGCTTTTATTCAAAATATCATCTGTTGGTACTTCTTCATTCATTTTTTTGATCCTAAAGAAAAACAACCAGGCGTAAATTTTTTTGCCTCGTTTTTGTTTTATAAAACAGAAAGCTGGTGTTAATTTTCCCCAAAAACGTATTTTTAAAAGAAAAACCATTCTATAAAATAAGACTGAAGCATTTTTGGGATTCGGCATTCACTGTGTAAATTTTGGTAAACTCTTGGTTGTGTAAAGAACACGAGTCTTTGTAAATGCCGTCTAATAACTTGTCACTTTCAATTAACCCATCAAGGTACACATTGGTCAAATTCTTATTTTAGGTGTTTTCTTTTAAATAAGTTTTTCCTGTTCTGTCAACACTTAAAAGGTATACAAAATGCGTTTTGGGAAATGATGTTCAAGAATAACAAAACCATTCAAAAATATAATGTTTTATAAAAATTTAAATAAAATAGTAAAAAAACCTATAAAATCAAAATAGTCTAAGCTCAAAAAATCGAATTACAATTGAATTCAAAACAGACACCTTTCTGTCCGCCCGATTTTACGGGTCCAAATAATCCTGAAATTTGTTGCATTTGTTGCATTCTCCCCTTAAAGTTATTATTCCCACAAATCGTTATAATTTTAAATTGTGCAACTTATTGAGTCCGTAAAGCCACATTAAACTGAGGCTTTTTATTGTTGTTGTAAAATCACAACTCCGACTGTTAAATAATTTTTGTTTAACGCTTCAATTACAAATTATTTTTTTACCCAAAACTGTCTCCAAATCAATACCATTCGACATGTCATTGAATGTGTCGTCAAGATGTAAACCCTTTAGCAGCGTCAGAGAGTTTATCCGTGTTGTTTTTGACTATGTATTTAAACATTTATTATGAAGCTTTTTATTTTATCAGTCAAGCTTTAATCATATTATTTAAGTGGCTTACTTATCGGCTTTGAATCGAGCTGCTTTTCTACCTCCCCATATTTTTATTTCTTTGTGAAGGCTTAATGTATTTTTTTATAATTAAATTTTTTTATAACGACTATTAAAAATACTATAAAAATTATTAATACCTGATTATTATTTTTATAGTTCAATTATAGTAAATATAAAGTATGTTGTTAATTAAAAAATTATTTTAAGTTC